GGGGGGGGGGGGGGGGGGGGGGGGGGGGGGGGGGGAGTCATCCAATCTACTTATGAAAAGGGAAACTAAAATATTTCACAGGAAAACCACTATGAGCACAAACCTCCCACATACAAAGGGCATCATTGAAAGACAATTCGCGGCGGAAGAGTACAAGCAGCATACGGAAGGCAAAATGAAGGCTCTCAGCACCTATCTGGGACAAGTGAGAAAACATTTCCCTATCTGTAAGTTCTAATATGTGCCACAATGTCTGCAACTGTTTCATTACACCAGTAGGTCCTTCCATCTGAAAGTTTTCACGCTGTAGATTCATATTATATAATTTAGTTAAAAAGATAAAGAAAATTGGAAAAATTATATGTGGAGTAAAGTCAATTAAACAAAATTCTTGATATATAAAATACCATTCTCCTTAGAAGCATCTCGAAGCACCAAAAAGCATCAGCATTATCCTCAAAAAGAACAATAAAGGGGGAAAGTAGATCACTCGTGCCTACAAATTATATAAAAGATGATGTCAAAACCAAATAAATAATCACCTAAATCCTTGCATGATTCCGATTGTCACATGAAAGTTTCATGAAGAGGAAAATGGCACAACCTTGGCAATATCCTGTTGCAGGATCAACCCATGCATATACAGCAAGAATATCTGACATTCGAGCCAAATTTTTTGTGTCCTCGTGAAATTCGAGATGATTGTCTTTTCTAACTACATCAACAACTGGAATACAACATGTTGTTTTACAGCCCATTAAATGGTAATGAGAGAATTTTAGGCAGAATGGAAAAAGAGTATTTTGTTGGTAAAAGTTGATTTGCAAACCAAATTACTAGTTTACCTATTTGGTGCAGCGTCCAAAGCCATTCAGACACTCTATCTCCACTGGCAGCCCCTCCACGACTTGTAATTGTGTTGTTGGCAGGTATTTCTGGAGCATCTGATATTCTAAGCATCTTAAGCATTTCTGATTCAAATTCCAGATTATTTGGCGGCGAAAGTGATTCATCCACATCCGGGTAAATCCTTTCACTTTCAGAGTGAGGAGGTGATGTGTCCTCATTAGACTGGGTACCATTTGACTCCACAACTAAATCTGCATTGCTATCAATTTGAAAACTGTGAATATGCTCATCCCCAAATTTCAATTTACGTCGTGTCGAATGTCTGTCATTGCGTAACCTATGTTCTTTTTTATTTTTGTCACTTTTTTCAAACAAATCTGTAACAGATAAAGGAGGAAAATCCAAATAGCTTTCAGTCACATATTGTAGTCCATCAGCTTCAAGCTCAGCTGAGGACTTGCAGTTGTAAGAACCAGAAGAAGGTACAAGACCAGAGCAATCATATGCTCCTTCCTTGCTTGCTCTTACACTTACAAGGTCATTAGAGTCACCGGAGCTTTCCCTTCTACAAGTATGTGATTTTTGTGTACAATTGCTATCCAAAACACAATTATTATTATCTATTTTGTTAGCATGGGCTTCAGAATTATGTCTACTTTGATCTTCATCTTCCCTTATCCCATCATCTTTGAAACTCATTCTCATATCCATGACTTTAGAACCTACAACATAGGAAAGGGAACCAGTTCCGATGCTCGAGTGCATCAATTGACATTGCTTAATTAGGTCCATATAATGTTCCCTGAAGTAAATTCATAGTTAATTAATTTGCAATTAGTAGGTTGTAAGATAGAAATGAATATTAAAATTCAGCACATCTATTAAAATTATTTCCAAAAGAACCAGTAATTCATCAAGCAAATACTAAAACAGAAGTTTAACGCTGCCACGACAAGGACATAGCGTGCCATGGGATAATTATTTGGAAGAAACTTACTGGCAATAAGTATACATCATAAACCTAATCAACCAAAAAATTCTCTTAGAACCTGATATTTTATAAGTCTTTGTAAGGGTTTTAAGCAGACGTACATTCTAGCAGTAGGCTGCCACCGTTTAAGCTCTATACAATTTTTCATCTCTTAGACTCTACGATACTGTTTTTATTTTTCTTGATAATACAGAGACAGAAAGCAAGAAATTCCCATATAAAGAAGTATACAAGAAATATCATCTAAAAACAATAAATGCAATTATCCGAAATAGTCTCTTCGACTCGAACCTGATTTTGTCCAACTTCTATAAGAGTTTAAACTTCTAACTTCGCGTGCCCTACAACCACAGTGTACTCCTATGTTACTCAGACTTGGGTACATGTATCAGATACGGGTACGTATCTAAATGTTGAATCTTTTATTTTTTAAAATATAGGATACGGGGACATCGCTAAAAAAAGTCTAAATTTCGGACACGAGTACGTCTTTTAAGTTTCAATTTTTTTGCTAACCCAAGATATCATTTTGAATAAACCAAAATCAATTATTCACAAAGAAGAAAATGAGTATTGAATTAGGTATTAAAACGAATAAAATAGAATTTTAGGGTTTAGTTTTAAATTATGAGAAATTAATTACTAAATATTATATAAAATAGAAAATGAGGGGCTTGAATGTAATTTGGACTTAGTTGAGCACTAGATAACACTATATGGAACCCATTTTCATTTTATACAAACAAAACCTTAAATCACTAATACAATCTTAGCGTCGTTTCCCTTCCCCACCCTCTCGGAGGTGGCACTAAATTTATAGAGAGCAAAAATTGGGGAGGGAAGAAGAAGAAGTAAAAACGGTGAAGTATCCAATTGAAACTTGGCGGATCCGACACATATTCTGTACTCATGCCCATGTCGTATCGTGTCCGACACGGGTACCCCTACTATTTCGAAGAGTCCGAGCATCAGAGGTGTACTCAAATCACCTTATTTCACTAAACTTATGAAAGCCAATCCGTACTCAACAATAGTTAAATTCTATCTTCAAAATAACTTAATTGGAGCTAAGTGACTCAGAAATCCTCCAATAGCATATGGACTGTCCCTGAATGACTTTAATTTCCTCCGCATGGTCAATCAGGAACAATTTTTCAGTAAATTTCAGGAAGTTTGATCTAGAAGAATGTAAAACAAAACTTTGTCTCATATTAATCATATTACACTGAAAATCCACTAGGATCAAACAAACAGATGAGAGTCGCAATTGTTATTAATCATGAACATCCATGTTCCTAAGTGAAAGCAACAACTAGCAACTGGAGTAGGATTTCAAAAGCTCAATTTCGAAAGAGAAATATTACATCAGAATGTGATAAGGAAAATTGCAGGTTCGGATATGCTACTAATAACATCCATGTTCCTCCGTGAAAGCAACAATGAGGCACTGAAGAAGGCTTTCAAAGGCACAATTTAGAAAGAGAAATATTGCATCAGAATGTGACAAAGAAAATGGCAGGTTCAGATACACTATTAATCATTACACAGCAGCAGATAACAGAAAGACACTAAATTATATAGTTTATGATCCTTTTGCACTTACTGTGTTACAAGATGAAACTCAGTTATCGCCAAATAAGACTAGAATAAAAGGGAAAAAAGAAACAAAGTTCAGTTTAACTAACATTTAAGAAAAACAACTATTTCAGTACCACTTGCTATGATTCCATTCACTTATCATATAACCATCAATTTCACCACATCTATATACTCATATAGACTTTTTATTTATTTATTTATTATAAACGCCAAAAAACCTGCTTCGCCATTATTCAGTGTAAAATATATAAATAAGAATAAATATATATTCTGTATTTTAAGCGTTCTCATTGCCATGATGTTTTCTAATGTTTCAGCTTTCAAGTAAGGTTTCATGTCCTCAATTGCTAGGACAAACATTCAGTGATGAATAATGAGATACCATTAATAGATGAACTATATCTACAGCCAGCATAGTTGGAAAGAGAATATTCAAACAAATTCCATCCATGTAATTAGAAAGGAGAGCAACCAAGACACTTCATACTAACAACACAAAGTGAAGCAGTGACTAAAAAGCCCAATACCTCCTGGCAGCCCTTAATTGTCTTCGATATTCAGCAGTGCTGCTCAAAGAATAACAGCCCAAAAGGAATTCCCATACTTCCGGCCTTATAGATGGATCCACACCCTGCCATGCAAAAGATGAAGCATTTTAGCGGCTAAAAGGTTAATATTGGCTAAACAATACAAAGAAAACTTAATCCTATTATTATATTCAAACTCTAGACACAAAGTTATTATCATTGGAATTTCAGCTAACAACATAAGAAACTAAGCAAGAATTTAGAAGAATATTCCGCTACATTTCAGTTATCATTTATGCAAATAAAATGTAAAAGCTAAAGAAATTCACAGAATATCATATGTTCATTCTGGTGTCAATTGACTATAAAAAATGGATAGAGAACCAGAAACTTACAAATAGCCCTCACCAAGAATTGCATTCATTGTGTAAATAACTTTCTCTACTCATTTTGAGTTGTAATCATCCGGTATTTGTTTCAGAGGGAGGAAGTAGGAGACTAACCCATATCGGTAGGCCAAAAAACTTCAGTCATGCTTTTGGGTTTTGATAGATTCCATGTTTGTATGTTGCACTGGACGCTCAGATTATTCCAGATGCAGCACATACATTCTATCACAATATGTTGAGGAAAATAGATCAACTTTGTGATGCAATAAGCTGATAATGCTTAACAGGTATTAGGTACAAAGATTTTGTAACAGATAGATATTGAGTATGTTTGATGAGCTTCTGCTCTAGACAAAATAACAATCCTTGCTCAAACAAAGTCATCTACTGAGGAGGACATCGATTTGGTATCATGAGCAAGTTTAAGGCAATTGTCTTTTAAGTAAAAACAGAATTGACTAAAGGTAACCCAATTTCTGTGCTAAGATCTGACAGCTAAAGCAAATTTTAATCTTGCTAATTTCCCCAATTGAACTCCTGAATAATCCTTGAGGGTTATAGACCTCGGAATAAGTATTTGTTTGGTAATTTTTTTAAGTGTTTATAAGTTGGGAGCTATAGAATGTGTTGATAATAAGAGGATAGTAAGCCGTCGGTCCTACAAAATATAAAAATAAAAAGTATGTTTGATCAGCTTAAATTATAATTTAATCTTTTCCAAACATGCTCCAAATGCAATAGAAGCCAATGGAAACCACAAAGACAACCAATGTTTTGACTTATTACCCTTATTTATTTATTCATTTGTATTTTGAGTGTTTGAAGACAGTATTTCACACAATACATCTATTCATCTTGCACTAAAGAGATTTAAAATCCCAATTAGCCTTACTTTTGACTATATAATGACAATACAAGACCAGAAAGAAAATATGAAGCATATGAATGGATATATGCATTTTACCATCAGTTTTCAACAAATTATTTACAAGTACTATATTTTTTCTAGTCTGGAACAATGCTTATTTTGTTCTCGTATATTTATTACTAGCTAATAATTTTATTTACTCGAAAGTTATTCCTACCATTTTGGGTGAGAAAGTTAAGTGACCAAAATTATGATTGTGGTGCCAATTTATATCACTTTGAAAATTTATATAGGCCAGCAGCATCATGCCTAACATCAATTTGTAATAATGTTTTTTAACTAGTTGTCGATATAAGACAATCTTACTTTAATTCAGTGAGATTAAAGATTTTATATTCTATATATACTAAATAAAAGGATTAGCCAAGTCCTAATCTTGGTATGGACTGGGTTTCACTAAAGAAAAAGAGAGGATAAGCATGAAGGGATTAGTAGAAAGCTAAAAGATTAGAGATTACCCCACAGAAAAATAGAGAACAAACAGAACAAGATAGGAAGAAAGCTTTGCTTCCCATCCTGCTATTTCAAAATAAGGAAATGGGGCAAATGGCTCAGCTTAACTAGTTATATGCACTCCGTCTGTCTGGGGCAATGGTCCTTAATCCTTATTGAGCTCTTGATCAAAAGAGATAAAAGACTATAAAAAACTATTAAATGAATTGCTGACTTCCTCTAGATCTATCTTTCACTCTAGCTTTACATGTCTTCCCTAATTGATGAATACGAGAGTTAAGGGTCCTTAACAGAAAGTCTGCAACAATCTTCCATCCTACTTTGATGTTCGTAATGTCTACTCCAGGTTTACACTCCTACATAATATACACAATCATGCATTTGAGATAAAAAAGAACTTGAAATATAGGAAAGCCAAAACATTGAACCCAAGAAACAACATCAAAGCCACAGAGTTAAAGTAGCAGTCAAGCATGAAGAAGTTCTGAAGCTAAGAATATTGGGTATATCACAAAATTCAAGCTTTCAAACTATCCAAAATTCACATTGAAAAATGGTAAATTTAATGGCATGATAATAACTTGAAATAAAACAATCAAAATGTTAAAAACCATTGCAATAGAAGTGGTTACCCCCAGTTTAATCAATTTTAGAACTTTTTGGAAACCCATAATTCTCCCTTCACTATCAAAGGTAGCCTGCCACTTTTCTGGCTTAAGCATTTTGCTTATCTGCATATCAAAGAAAAAGCAGAAGAATGACATTTCTACACAGGCTGCAAAACAAATTCTATTGAATATACATGCATAAAGAAAATGAAAGCAAAACTCTTCATGGACACAGAAGTCAGAATATATTTAACCAGATTTTGCAGCCAATCATATATGTTAATACCATGTTCTGCATCTGCTGAACAGAGTCAGTTACATGGTTAGGAAAATATTTTATACATCCCACAAAAGGCCCCAGAGAGAAGCTGGAAGTCAATTTTTCGCAAAGCTAGAAAACCACCAAATGAGGAAAAAATGTTCCCCACTATAACGTAGAGAAAAAAATAACAATATCAGAAGAATTCTGCTCAAGTCAAAATCTCCCCAGTGCAGACCCAACGGGTGCTCATCCATCTATTTCAACACTAAACTACATTGACTTTCTATCAAAAAATAAGACAATAGAGTAAAATCTAAAATGAAAAGAAAAAGTAAAGTGAAAAAGAGTCTTCTGCTGCAGTAAAAGAGTTCTGCTATAGTCTTCTTATATTCAAGAAACTCCAAAACTCCATTTGGTAAACACTGGTATGGTTAAGAACTTACTTTTGAATTTTGTAAGACAGTTATATTTGTGATATAATTAGTCATCAATCCATCCCAAGAATTCATTTTTCTTGCTATTTTTATTAAAGAATTTCTTGCCTTTTTTTTTTTTGATAAGTAAATTAAAGAATTTCTTGCTCAAGAGTGAAGCTTCATTAAAGGCTGGAAAGGCCACAACCCCCTCTCCTGTCAGCGGTGGGAGTGGGGGAAGCAATTGCTTTTGGTGCTTCGGTTTTCTACTATTCTTTAGTGAATTCTATAAGACAATTTCAAATTCCGTACTAAACTTTTTATGCTAACCAAATGTATTGAAAAGCAGATACTATTTTCCTAAAAATGAAAATGGGTGGAATAGTGCTTTTTTGAAAAATGAGTGGTTGAAAAAGAAGGAAAATTTTTCGATTTACGTGTAATATAATTTAATGGAAGATTGTGTGGTTGAAAATAGGAGAAAGAAAAATGAAACGTAATGTAATGAAAATTAATGGGGGCCAAACGGGGGTTATATATGGCCCTGACTCTCTCCCTTCTTTTGAATGTCAAGTGTCCCCCTAATTTTGTTGGACTAAAGAGGTTGTTATGCTCAAGTACTATCTTCATTACTTCTGTAACGAAGATCACATATTTGCTTACAAGACATAATGTGAGTTTATGGTTTTTCAGATCATGAAACTAGAGTGGACTGAATTACAATTGAAGTAAGTGAGAATGGCCCATATATAGCAGAATTTCTGGCCACATAAAATATGGGTCGTTGATAACTTACTTTATCAAGCTGTAAATTTATCTACAGGAAAAATTCCAATTCTATTTACTTAATACCTTCTTTAAATAAAGAGTGATAATTGATCAATAAGCTTGAGGTCAATGTTAATGACCTCCATTTCTTTTCCAGGTATAATCCTTCTTACCGGCTACTGCAACTAAATCTTGCAGGAGTCGAGACTTTGCTCCCCTAAGCACATCCATGCACAAGAGAGAGAAAAAAAATTTCCACAAACATAAAAATGAATTGAAGAACACAGGGAAAACATCAATATTAACTTTTCAGAGCCTCTAGTAGAGTCCTCGTATTTAATGAAGTCCAAGAAATACAAAGATAGTGGTCATGTTAGCAACTAAATGTCGTGATTCAATATCTGTTTTCTAGAATTTTAAAACCACTGTTATGATTTAATGGGAACTACCAAGTTTATACGCTTATCTGTCAGAATCTTTATACCACCAAAAGACACAACCAGCTTATGCTCAAAACTCCATGTGGGTTCCAACTTATGCTTAAAAGTTAAAACACACTTGGTAGTTTGGAAACCTTCAATTAAGCCCCTCGTGGTCTTAATACTCCTGCTATTGAAACCACATCCTGTTAAGTTTTGAACCAATGAATTCACGAGAAAATTCTGTTCATATACAAGCGCCTTTTTGGCCAGCGAGGCAATAAAACAGGGAAGACATTACAAATACCAAAATTTTTCGGGCCATGCATCTATAACAAATTCAGATATCTCAAGAAAGGACAAAAGGTATGTGGATAGTACCACTTTTTCATTTCCTGATATCAGATCACATCCACAAACGTGTCGAGTAAATGCTCTTCCAGGTTGCTAGAACAGATTTCAATTGGGTGATCAGTAGTGTCTGAGAGTCACATGCAGTGGTCCCACAAACACATAAAAGACTTGGTGCCCATTGGAAAAGACCCAAATAGGATAACAAAGGCTGCTGGGAGTTCTACACCACAGCCGCCTTCTACAACATCTTACTTATTTGCCTCCACCAAGGTCATCTTTGGATAAGTCGATTGAACCACTTGAAATTTCAAAAGAGCATGATAAATAAAAAATCATAGATCAAATGAACCAGTTACCTTAGAATTATTAGATAACTGATTTTATTTTATTCGTATTTAAAAGGTGCAAAAAAAAAAAAAAATAATAATAATAATAAAATAAAATAAAGGCAGTTCTGCTTGGGCTCATGGGCATTGGTGATGAAGGTTGAATGTTGACGGTTGCGGTGGAGACTCAAAACTCATAAGTGGGGGTGACTAGTGTGTGAGGTATAGAGAAAAAGGTCACTAAATTTTGAACGAGGGAAATCAGGTTCTTTTGAATTGACTCACTTGTGCCAAACACTTGCTTGTTCACATTCTGCAGAGAATAGGTTGCACTTTCTAGTTCAAATTAGGAGAGAGTAAACAGCTGGGTTATTCAGTCCGTTGGTATTGTCCATAGTTTTTCCAAATTGTACTTGGGATTTTAGCGCATTCAGGAAACCAAGTGAGGCTTTCAGCATTTAATTTTAAAAAGAAACATAACTTTATCCTCATAGATATAATTTTTTCAAAGTTTAAATAAAAATAAAAATAAAAATAAAAAATCTGATAATGCTCTTGTAGTTTCTGTCATCCCTGGCTAAGATAAGAAAAATTGAATGCATTTAACATTTTTGCTTGTGAATAGATGTTCCAGGTAGATATTCAACAGAAAATGAAAAAAAAAAAGAAGTCTTGTTGAAAGTCTTACACTAAATTAATAAGATTATCATCCCTACTTAGCAAACAACATAGCTAGTTAAAAGCTAAGTTCAACAACATTACAACGTGCGATTAGAAAACATTAGTAGTCGAGAGCCTTACAGCTATCACAACCTTTATCGGTGATTGATGAAGACAAGGCTCCCCTATATCGCAAACAATTGAACTGACTTTGTGAAAATTCATAGCACCTCCCTTTCCGCATTTCCATTGCTTCTCCTTTCCATCAAAAGACATCACCTAGACCTCTATCCCTATCCCTCTCTATATCTTCCCAACTCCTCAGCTTCTCAGCCTCTATTAATAATCACAATCAATTAATTAATTAACAAAAACCTTAACAAACCCAAACCCAAACTAATAAAATCTTGAAAAATATAATTAAAAATGAAAATATAAAGATACAGAAATCAAATAAATACACCCATTTCTCCAGGAAAATGGGACGCGATCAAGTTCGACTGTTTATAAACAAGAAATCAGATCTAACATTCACATTTGGAAATAAAACCTTAACAAATGAAACTTTGATCACTTACCATTAATAATATGCTTCCGATAATATTATCACAATAATCTAAACATAATTCATTTCAAACAAACAATGTCTCCATATACATGTAAACATTATAGAGAGACGGCGGAAAGGGAAAAGTAAAAATAAAAATTATGAATCACATGAAATATGTAATTGAAAATAACTTTGAAAAAAATGAGTTTTAAAACAATAGAACTAGTTAGAACCAGTTCATGTTCGACGTAGTTTGTACCGAATTAGTGATCTATTTGTTGTGTGAGCCCTTGATTAGAAGGATATGCATAAACGTCAATGCAGTAGTTACTGGATGCAAGTTGAATTAGAGTTGGGGTAGTGATTCGGGATAAATGTAGGGTGGTGGACCGGTGCAGGCAATTCATGTTAAGGGAGTTTTGGAAACTTATTCAGTGGAAGTAGCCGACCTGATAGTCGAGGGGCATTTTATAGTGTAGCAATTGTCCCTCCAAACTCATGTGGTTAAACGTGAGTCTGTGTGTAGTTTTGAGCATGCAAATATATTTAGCCTTAAGCAACGTGCATATGTTATTTAGGACAATCGTGACACTGACAGTTATGTCCACAGATATTGGAATAAAGTGGTCCACGAACTCATGTCTTTTGATAAAGTGGCCAATGAATTTTCATCTTCTGCTTTTTATATTAATGATGTGATCCATTGGATTTATTGTGTGTCAATCTTTATTACGATCGTGAGAGTAATAAATGTTGGTGTGTGTGTGTGTGTGTCATTCAAAAAAATGTTTTATTCGTCAATCATTATTAACACATTATGATTTTTTTTTTTATGAATAGAGTCGTAGTCGTATATTGTGAAGTTGACATTTTTCAATACTCTATTATCTTAATTATAAACGAATGTAAATAATGTAGAGTTGATTTGAAAATTACGCGTAATGTTAAGATTATTACTTAGATTGTATTTGTAGATCTGTCAATTTATTCGTTTAAAAAGTTTATTTCCTTATCCAAAAAAAGGTTGTTTATTTTATATTTAAATGGTAAAAACTTATAGAAATCGTAATACTGTGGTTAATAAGAAACCAATTTAATGCTAATTTTTCGGCCAAGTTTATTAATTGCAGGCGTTTGAATTTGAGAATCATGTATTAGGCAATCATTATATTAATTAATTTCTTCAAATAAACTTTGTAACTAATTTCCAAAAAAAATTCTTAAGTAACCATAAAAAATAAAATTAATTTATCTACTTATCAGTTCTATTATCTTTTTACCTTCGTGCTATTTGTGTCTATTTTTGCTTTGAGCACCATGGCTTGGCCCAAGGTGTCCAAAACGACCGATTAACCTAAGATTTGGTTTGGTAATGTTATTATTTTATGATAATCGGTTTTTGAAGTACTGAGTAAAGAATTAGGTACAAAAAGAATCAATTAAGTGCATGTTTGACATCCATTAATTTTATTTTATTTTACACAATAAAATATTTTACGCATATATCAAAAACTTTTCTCTACTTTTTAACTATACATTCTCCTAAATATAATACTCAAACTCTCTTTTTTCTCAACTAATGAGAATCAAACAGGCTCTAAACATTTGGTAAACTTTTGTTCCAAAATTATTATGTTTCAACATCATTATTTTAGCTTTTTGTTAACAAAATAAATTTATCGTTTTTCATTATATAATTAGCCCCTATTTGGTGGGATTAAAATCATGTTTTTAATATATTTTGAGAAATGTTGATGAAATATATGATTAAAAGGTTGAGAATCCTATAGAATATGTTTAATTATGAACTTTGATTTAAATTAAAATATAGATTTTAATCTCTACTAAACAAAGACTTTGTAAAATGAATATTAATTTTTTTGTTATTATTATCTTCTTAGATAATATTGTAAATTTTATTTTTACTTTTATTATAAAATACGTAATATTATCTGATATTTTTATCAGATAATGTATTCACTATTGTTATTTTAAAATGAAATTAATATCCATTAAATCTCGATATTTGTAAACCTACAGAATAAAAGCTTAGTTCATTAATAGAAAATTAATTAGGATTAAAGTCGATCTTCTAATATATAATTGGAGAACTTAAAAGAAGAATATGAGCTTCTACTGCTTCCCAAAATTGCTAATGTGTACTACAGATTTTTCTATAATAAATTTCTCTTTATCAAACATTTGAAATATTTTTTGTTTGAAAATCAAATGTTAGGCTCTAGAGTCAATCTCAAACGAAGCTTTTTAGGTGGTAGTATTGACACAGACATTTTTTTATAGATACATTACATTTTAATTGCATTAAATGTCATTAACCTTTATTCATCATCATATTTATATCCCTAACTTTATAAGTGTTGTCATTTAGATCAATGTTAAACATCAGTAATGTCAAATTGTATTACTCTTTCGATAAAGTGGGACCTACTTAAAAGCACAACTTATAAGTAGGAAAAAGGCAACGATTGAGCTCTTGATCCAGGCCATCCACTTTTGTAATTACATTTGGCATGAATTTTCGGTAGGTATTATTAAGCATGGATTAAAAAAATAATAATAATCATATTTTGCCTCTTTACCTTTCTTAAAAAATGAATAATATATATTTAGTTAAGTCGTTGTTTGAGCCACATTATTTTCGTAAGAATGCATTTTTGAATAGTGTATTGATGAAAAATGTGTAGTTAAAAAATTAAGAAAATTTTTGAATTTGCGTGTAATATTATTTTATTATAAAATATGTGATTGAAATGATGTCAAATCACTATTTAGAAAATATATATATATTTTTTAAATGTGGGTCAAACAGGGCTTAATCTCATTGATGAATTTTGAATTTGAGGAACAAGGCCTATTTAGAAATTAGAAGTACACTTAGAGTCCTTTTAATTAAAAAAAAAAAAAAACAGAAAAAAAGGTTTCAAATGTAGAAACAAGAAGTAAAATTTGAATCCTCTTGTTTAAACAAAAATACCAGCAAAATTAGATTTTTAATACAATTTGACTCGAGCTCTAAACGAGTGAGACAGTGACCTAAAGTCCAAATTTTCGGAACTTTCACTCCATATTTGTCAAGGAAATTTTAAAAAAAAATATTTTTTCATAAATTTAATTTACCAACAACAAAAATCCATTGCTAAGAAATATAATTTCTAATTTAAATTAGCAACATAGCTTTTGGATTGTAGATTGATTGATAACATTTCTAATTTATCATAAATTGATTGATTAAATTGAATAATAAAAAGCCAAAACATTACCTTCAGATAAATTATGTCGGTAATTAAGTAATACTTAAAAATAACTTATAGTTAAGAGTGAAATTTTACTTAGTAATTTTAAAAAGATAATCTTTTGATATATTTAATTATTGACAAAATTTGTCAATAACTAAAGAGGCTTGATGCAGTTTGATTTGGGTTGATTTCGACTCCAACTTGAAACCAAAATCAAAAATCAAAATCAAATTAGTCGGTTTGGGTGAAATTCAACCCAAACCAACACACTCTAACTCTTAAACCGAACTGAACCAAACTTTTAGTTCAAATTGATTTTTTTTTTAAATGTCCAAGTTTTGGCAAAATTAGATTACTAAATTAAAAATAACTAAATAACTTTATATTACAATAATTATTGACTAACAAATAAAATTAAGTTATTAAAGACGGATCAACAAAAAACTTAAGAATGTTGTTGTCTTTTTATACATTATGTACCCTGACTACCTGAGTAGGGAAAAAGACTAAATATAACATAATAAGCTCGTGAAATAAAATTTTCAATACTATTACTTACTGACAATATCATAGATTGAAGAGAATCGTGATATAGTTATGAAATTAGAGTTTATCTTTTGATTTTTATTTTTCTTTAAAAAAAAAAGTCTAAACATGTAAATAAGTTAGATTGATTCGGTTAATTAGCAATTTGAGACTTCAAATCATGACAAAGTCAAACTACCATGGTTTTATTTAAACGAAAATCAAAGCAAATCAATTACCTGCGTCAAACCGAACCGACTCGGAATTGACCCAAATCGATCCGAGTTGATTTGACTAGTTTGATCGATTTTTCAATTTTTTTTGCCCAAACCTAAACTAAAGTAATAAAATTTAAACAGCAACAGAAAAAAAAAATCATGTTAGAATAAAATAAAAGGCAATAACTTATTTGTTGGTAAAACCAATAAAAAATTATTAAAAAAATCATAAATTACTGAAAAATATATATTAAAATATAAGAAGTACATAACATAAATTTCTATCGATTTAACAAACAACTTCTTTGTTGGCGATCAAAAAATAAGGTTGTCAGCGATAACTAAAGACATATTATGACACTGCCATCAATATTCATTGATAGATGTCCGTATTGATTACCAACAACATTGTTGTCCGTACTCTTGTCCAAATCATCAACACATATTTCCTTTACTATTTTTTCTTTTTAATTCTTTTTCAAAGAAATTATATATTTACTCTTTTACCCTTACAAGTGAAAATGTAAGTGGACAAAACCGCCCACATGAGACCAGCTTACTAGGCTGTAAAGGTTGAAACTTTATTAAAGATGATGAATTGAATAACTATACTTCAATTTTCAATCGTATAATCTTATATACATTTGAACATACTAAAGTAGAGTATAAAAAATTTATAAATTATGTCAAGCAATTAGAAATTTAACAAAATCGACATTCCACTACTCATTAAAGTCTATAAAAGTGGCCTAAAATTTTGAAGATTAATGTAATTTCTATATCCAAGTAAAAAGGAAATATTTAGAAAAGTTATTTTAAG